AGTTTTACTCCTCATGCATTATCATCCCCTGGTTCTCCCCATGCCTTTATCCTAGACTTTTAGGAGCAAATGTATCCTCCTTGCTTATCCATTTGTCATCCAGTGACTTACTGCAGCTTCTCACCAGTCTTCAATGTGACTGATTTTTTTTTTTTTTTTGGGTGTAATTGAGAACTTTTGACATCAAGTAAAAACTTTTTTTTTTTTTTTCCCCTTAATTTAAGCATGCAGCTGATATTGCCAGCAGAGGTAGGGAACTCAGAACATTCTGGCTAACAACGAACTCAAAGAATCTCAGCATTTTCATCTTGGCAATTGGGTGTTGTTGACACAGCTGCAGTGAGACATATCAGTGCAGCTGGAGGCTGTATTTCCACAAAAACCTGTCATTTGGAATCCCTTCATCAAACCCCATACTTGGAGGTCATATTTCTCCATGCTGCTATATGCATTCAGCAGTCTAACCTCAAGACAAATTCCCATCTCAACAAAGTAATTTTCCAGTTCAGTCTGTAGGGTTCAACAAAATAGTCTTTGTTCTTGTGCTATTATGTTTTTCACTTTCTTTCCATTTATAACAAGTTAGAAAGTTCTCTTCCTAAATCATGGATAAATCCTACTGTTACAAAAATTATTGCAAGACTTGTTTTATCAGATGACTGACTTCATGAGGAGAGCCACCAGAAAAGACTAGAACGGTTGTGGCAAACCCATGGTGTGCAGACCACAAGTGCTACAGTGTTTCTTTAGGCATGCACCAACAGGAATGCAGTCCCATCCCTGGCTTCAGCTAGCTCCTCCTGCTGCTCTATTACCAGCTAGAGGAGAGAATAGGGAACAAAGAAATACCCCTAGTGTGTAGAAAGCAGTTGAAGAAAGATGTTTGATATCAAAGATATCAAAGGGAGAGTTCTTAAAGGGAAATTCACATTCCCCCCCCCCCCCCCCCCGTGCCTTTATCAATAGCCAGATTACATGTAGCTGTTAGAATTCTGGCAGGATCATGTCCTTGGTCTCCTTTTTAGATGCATACCACTTGGTTAGGTACAGCTCTGACAGTATGGAAAGGCTAGTGAGTGCAGATTGTCAGAAAACATTCAGTTTCAACCCCTAGCTCAGTGTCAGGAACTTAAGTTGCCTTCTCTGCTGGGTGTCACCTAGCACTGATGTGGAGCAGTTCAGCTATTCATTCAGATCTATATGGGGAAAAGACTGGCCAGCTGGCACCCACATCACCACACTTCTGCAGCTGCATCTCCTTTCCTTCTGCCAGATTTTATTTGTCAAATGATGGGTTTACTTGCATTACTCTAGTGTGAGAAAGACAAAAGGAAGGGTAAAAATAGGCTTAAATCCCATATAAAGAAGTCATGAGACAAGTCATGTGCCCAGTACATTAGTCAGTCCCACAGTGTGAGGATTGAGCCTTCTGAGGTAGATTCAGAAACCATTTTGGCACTTCAAAAATTGCTTTATGTGCTATTTAAATATAGAAAAAACAAGCCTAGAAGAATTGTCCCACATATGTCCATGCCTTACAGTAATTGCATTGTTTAAGAAATAATTGCATATATAACAACAAAGGAATATAAGAAATTAACAATAATGACTAAATGACAGGCCAAAGGAGGTTTAGAACTTATTAAAGAAACTGTTATGCTAAGTTAGGAAGTCAGGACAAAGAGCTGTGAGCAGCCCTGGCACCTGACTCTGCTGTGTACAAGCAGAGCCTGAGAGCAGCAGGTTCAGAAAACCCTGCTGCACCCATGCCCTGCCTGTCGTTCTGGGCAAGGAAGAGCTCAAACAAGATCTGGTCTCAAAAGATGCTGAGCTCTGACATCTCTTATGGGCAGCAGGGGCAGCTTGGCGGAATGTCCTGGAAGCTGGTACTGCCAAGTTCTCTAATGATTCATTTTGCTTTTTCCAAGCTGCTTCCAGATGGCAGCTCCCACCTCTGGCCACTGGTACCCTGGAACCCTGTTCATCACCCTTCTTCTCATTGCTGCCTGCCCTCTGGAGAGAAGCCTTTCCAACTGGTGATCAGCCTGGTGCAACCACAGACCCTCTTAGCTAATGCTGATTTTTCTTTGGCCATTTCTGACAATTTCTGGACTGAGTTTGATAGTAAGTAAACCCTGCAACTGCATCCTTCTCAGACTCATTCTCTGTGTCACCACCAGTGAGTCGCATGATCATTTGCTTTTTCTCTTCTGTAAATAAAGAGTTCACAGCCAACTCCTAGAATCCTGTATGTTTCTCACACCTACACACTAAAAGCACAGCTGCTTGGAGTCAAAACATCTCCAGGAGGAATGGTGCCTCTTTTAAGACCTGGGTTCTTGATTTATGCTGCTGATAAACAGGAGAATCCTATGTCTTGTTTGCAGGGGCTGTCCCAGTGTTGTGTGAGAAAGCCCTGAAGAGCCTGTGGTTGCCCTGTGTTGCAACATCACCCTTATATGACCTCACCTGCACCTTCTGATTCCTAAGGGTGACATTCAGTGCCAGAAGCCCCATTGTTCTGGGATGCAGTCAGCTCACAATAACTGAGAATAGCTATGGTTTTGGCTGCGGACCTTCCCCCTTTCCCCCCAGATGTATCAGAGAGTCATGCCAGGCTGCTGCCAAAGTGTTCTTGTCTCCTTTAAGTTCATGTTCCAGTTTGTACAATTTCATTATAAAGTCAGACTGTGGCAGCTTTAGTGTTAAATGAGATGAAGATAGGAATGTATTCATCTTTTTAGTCTGGAACAGATTCAGACTTCCCTACTCCCTAATTCCCAGTATATTCAGTAATAAAGTGTGGCTCGTAAACATGTCAGCACTTAATGGGGCCTTGAATCAAGTACTCACTCATTCCACCAACTACTGTTGGTGCCAAAAGTGGTTCAGTGCTTATTATTTTACATCTCTTTTACCAAGGACTTTGTGACTTTTCCTAAGGTGCTAAAACCAAAACTGTAACAGAAGAGGATTTCTGATAAAGGTTGAGCAGAAATAATTCATACACTTAGAAATATTTTTATTTCCCTAAAAATAGGATAATTTTTGTAGCTTTATTCCTTTAGGTTCTACATAGACCTCTCAAATAGTCCAGTCATTAGAGACTTTGGAGGGGTTATATTTGGATAAAAAAATAAAATTCCACAAAACCCAGTGAAAGGCTTGACCCTGAAGCAGGTGACCATTATCAGCTTTGATTTTATTGCCAAAATTTGTAAATATTTTTTTTTAGTGTAGGCCAAACAACTGTGGCTATTTGGCCACAGCTGCTTGCTTGTTTGTAGCACCAGCTAACATTCTTCTCTGATTTCAGTCTGATTATTCTGATGTGGGTTGGGTCTGAAGATCTTTTCTTAGCTCTTTCCTTTTAAGGAACAGCCGGGTTTTAAATGACCCAGTCATGAGCTCCTAATGTTGCAGATCCTTCCTCTGGAGAACACCCTCCATTCTCTGACTAGAAACCAATGATGGATTTGTTACTTCAACAGGAGATGGGAGACCACGGTCCAGTGCTTCGCCAGAGACATCTGTGGGATTTGGGACAAGTCCCTGCTTCTATGGTCTGTGGTGTTTTAAAATAGGGATTTGAAAAAGAGTGGTAGGATTGTTATTTATATACATTTTAACATCATGTCAGATCCTAGCTGAGAACACTCATTGTGCTAATTACTAATGGGAGAAATGGGTCTTAATGTCTTCATAAACAACTCAGGCTGAAAGAATCAATCAAGTTCTGGAAAAATGGCTGTGGGGATATTAGGAGAAATGGGTGTTAATGTCTTAGAAATGGACCTTAATGTTTTAATGAATATCAATCTGCATTTTTTGCAGAATCCAGATAATCTGAGCTTCTAAACTTTAGGGCAATATGTAGTAGGTGGTTTGGGAAGTCTGTACCTCCCTCAGCTAATGGGGAAAGGAAGAGGGCAACCTGCAGCCAGGAGTTTAGGATAAAAGGAGGCGGTCTCCTCCAAAAATTTGAGAGAGACCCCATGGGAATATGGCCTAGTGGACTTTATCCCTTTATCCCTTTACTTGAATAAAGTTGCAAGATCCCTCTGTCTCTTTTGTGGACACTGGCTTTTCAGAGTGTGATTTTCTGCACATCACCAAGTGTTTCATTTAATAATGACCCATGACATGGCAGCTGGTCACCATGAAGGGGACAATTTGGCAGCACTCATCAGTGCAAAAGGCAGGGATAATATGAATCTTGACTTCATTTCAGGTACTTAGAATTTGGAAGAAGGCTACTGAGATTACAAATGAGAAATGTTTATTTGGTGTAAAAAAGCTGTAGTGTGCTCAGCTCAATCCGTTTGCCTTCAGATGTTGAAAACATTTGATTGTGGACTGAAGCAAACATTGAAATTCTGGACTTCAACCAGGACTTTGCTTTTCTTATACAACTGTCTGGTTTCACTATGTGATGAATCTCAACTTGCAAACCCCAGAGTACTCACGGCCAGGTGAGGACTGATTTTGCAAACCTCCAATGACCTCTCAGCAGCGCCGAGTGAGGGCACGCACCCACCCCATGGCCACTGCTGCACAGAGGTTGTGCTTCGCAAAATCTTAGCTATTATCAGTGCTGTTCAAACAGCCTGTGTAACATCTGGCTTCCCAGGGGACAAAAAAAAAAAAAAAAAAAAAAAAAAGGAAATTGTCCTGTGTATTTCTGGAGAACAGGGGGTGAAAATTTTTGTTTAAAACCACAAATTTCAGGGTGGCAGGGCCATAAAGAAACCTTCACTCAGCCCGGGGTCACAGCTTCTGAGCCCCTCAGGCACAGCACGGCCGCGGGCCCCCCCGCAGGCCCGGGGCCCCGGCACGGCCCTGCCCTACACCGGGGCAGGCAGGGCCCCACCCCGGCGGGGCCGTCCCATCGCGGGCCGCGGCCTCCCGGCAGCGGGCGGCCCCGGAACGGCGCTCGGGCAGGGCCAGGCCCGAGCCGGCTGCGAGCCCCGGGGCCCGACGCGGTGAGTGCCCGGCCACGCCGCTGAGCCCGCGCACTGAGGCCGCGGCTGAGGCGGGGCCGGCGCGGCGGCGGGGGCGGGGGAGGCCGGGCCGGGCGGCATGATCGGCACCGTGCTCTGCTACGTGCTGCTGCCGGCGGCGCGGCTCCTCCAGGCCCTCCGAGGTAACCCGGCCCCGGGCGGGCGGCGGCAAGGGCAGGGGGAGCTGCCGCGGGTGGCCCCGAGGGGCGGGGATGTCCCTCGGCATCCCCCGCCCCGGCCTGAGCGGGTGCGGCCCGGTCCGGAGGCTGCCCCGCGGCTCCCGAGGCCCCGGCCCTGGGCTGAGGCAGCGCGGGGCTGCGGGGCCGGGCAGCGCGGGGAGCTGCGAGTCCGGAGGGAACAGCTGCCCGCTGTTGTGCTGCAGAGGAGGCAGCGCTTTGCGCAGGGGCTCTAGCTCCTGCCCCCACCTTGCTCTCCAGGCTTGGACAGATCCTTGGAGAGGGGCAGCTCAGAGATCTCTGATCCCCCAAGAACTTGCGGGGGACTTGCGACTTTGTGAATGGACTTATGTTTTCTGTGCGTCGCTATTTCACTTAGTTTCCCTAGATTCTGCTGCTACTTCACAGTTCCTGATTACTGAGCTCATGTAAAGCCACCCTCCAGCCTGAACCTCCCTGGGCCTGTAGCAACTACTGGACTGGCACGCTGTCTATTTTTCATAGTGAGCAGCAAGCTGATTCCTCTCAAATTCAGCTCCTATTGTGTATCAACAGGCTCTTGTAGGCACTCATCGTGCCTGGCTAGTGGCGTGTGGAAATATTACCTTGGTGCATTGGTATTTTTGACTTTAATGAACTAAATTACAAACTGACAGAGAGGAGTATGGTTCTTAAAGCTCCATTTCTGACACATACAGAAAACTTTGACACAACAGATATAGTAAAACTATACACTAATGTTGCTGACTCCTGTATGTTACTGCTCTGGCTGACTGACAGGGATACAGAAAAAAAAAGTAATTTGTAATCAACAGAGGTGGCTAGTAGGGACGAGTGTTTGTGCAGAATTCATAGTGAAGCATAAATGCCATCTCTTGTATACATGCAAGTGAAAAGAATCGCTGTCTTTTTCTACTTTACTGCACAAATATTAGTTATTCAATGTTACATTAAAAACAGTTTAAAGTGATTTTATTATTTTGCCACATGTCAGGTATCAGGTGATCTGTAATTCTTATCAGGACTTCTGTACATATACTCTCTCTAATCAGGCATATGTTGGTCCCTATGTGTCTTCATTTTTCATCTCTTAATAACAGAATGGATTTTTTTCTACAATGGATTATTGTGATATATTTTACTCTCTTAGCTGACTGCTAGTTCTTATGGTCCCTGGAAAGAAACTTGCTCCAAATGATGATCTTCAAGACCTTGGCTTCTTAGCCCATGCACCTGATCAGCTAACTTTTAGAGACTGTGCCTTTACTGAGAGCTGATAGTTTCCACAAGGCTTTTTAGCTTGGCTGTCTGTGCTGCTGCATGAGTTAGAATTGCATTCCTAGATTTGATAGAACCATTGCTATTGTGTGCAGTTTCAATGACTTGGACTAATATAACTGGATTTGGACTGTGGCTTAGCGTTCTGGAGGAGGCAGGGGAAGTTATTTAGACTGTAACTGTTTTTCCTCAGAGAAGTAATTTGTTTGGGTTGCTATACTGAATGGTTGTATTACACAGAGTTACAGGAATAATTTTTCTTTGGAATAAGAAAAGAATTAGTAAGAAAGCATTTCTGGCTGTCTTATTTTGATTTTGTTTTTAAATGACAGATGCTTTCTTTACCTATCGAAAGAATGTGCTTCTGGCGAAGAGCCCGTCCACCCAGATAGAAGGTGTCTTTGCTGCAACCAGAGGAAGATCAGTCCCAGAAGAGCAAGAAGCCCTTCTCCAGCAGTGGCTGGAGGAAGGAGTAGGGAATTTGCCAGCCAGTGAGAGTGTTCCAGCGGTGAGGAGAGTATCAGTTTCACTCACTAGTGACTGGTTAGAAGGTTCAGAGCTATTGATGACCAGCCTCAGTGACCTGAACACATCTCCGGAAGTCACCCGGTGTGCTGATCAGCAGCACTCAGAGCTAAATGCCTTGGCTTCTTCAGAACTGCAAGATCATGCAGTGGCTGAACTGGCAAGATTACCATCAGAGGAAACAGTGACTGTAGCAGGCAGTGCCCCTTGGGCAGCTGTGGTGCCACAGACAGATCACCAGACAGCTGGCTGTGCTGGTATCAACGTGGAAGTGCTGAATGACGACCCAGCTGTGCTGGCCTGGAGTTTAGCATGTGATGCAGAGACAGTGCCACCAGTGCTCCCAGCCCAGCCCATTCAGGATGCAGTGCCGTTTTACCCTGTCCCAACAGAGGTGCCCTACCATGGTCAGTGGTGGCTCTGAATCTAAGGTTTAGTTTGGGATTGGCATTGGTAGTGAATGTGGTCAGGTTATTGTGTCTGGGTTTGCTGTCAGGAAGACATTGATTGCCCCTTGCAGAATTGGCAGGATCTGCTAGTGAATACTGTAAAGTGAGTTTTTGCTGAGGAGGGCCTACTACAGCTAGTAGTTTCTGTTCTGTGAGACTGTCTGGTCTGAATATCAATATATGTTCCTTACTGTTCTCAAATGCTGGCTTTGTACTCTAAAAGGCACGGAAAAGTGGGTCTGGGGTTTCAGTATGATTGACTCTGGTCATGTGTTATGGCATCCCTACAGACAACTATCCAAAGATATCCAGAAAGAACATCTGAAAACCAGAGTGGGTGAGGGTTTGCTCAGAGGCTAGAGTACCCTAGCTTGGGGAATGAGAATGGCTGTTTTCTGGGTCCCAGGGGAACCAAAGTATCAGCAAAGTACCCAGTCCAGCTGTAACTTTGCTTTTTGTCTCTTGCATGTAGAGATCTTATGGAGAGACTGGGAGGATCTTTCTGTCCAACCCTTAAAGCAGGTCTCAAAAAACACTCCCCTCTTTGAATTTCGAGTCATGTCTTACAACATCCTTGCCCAGGACCTGGTGGAGCAGGGTCTTGATCTCTATGTACACTGTCATCCAGACATCCTGAACTGGAACTACCGCCTTCCAAACCTTTTGCAGGAGATCCAGCATTGGGATCCTGACGTAAGTATGACTAAGCCCTCTCTACATCAAGTGTCACCTGAATTTGAATTCCTTCTTTGATCTAACAATATTAAGAAAATAAAAAGCTGGGGGCAAGTCCTAGGAAGATACTAGCTGCTTGGTAACTGGACACTGATTGGTCTGAGAGTGTTTGAAGACTTTCATAGACCTCATCTATTTTTGGTGTCTATCTTGCTTTGATTGTAGAAACTAGTCATACTTTGATAGCAGGACTTACCTTCTATAAACAGCAGAAGTAGAGGAAGAAGGACCAATTTTCTAAGGCAGCACAGGAGGGGAAGCCTGCATAGAAGAGGACTCCAGGAATTTATCTATTCTTTGAGTCCTCTTTTTGAGATGAAGGATCTTTTTTCTCATCACTGGAAAACTGAATGATACGCTAATGTGACCCAGAGAGTTAGTGCTTTTCATCTGGAAAGTACAGGACAGAGTTGCGGTGATGACATTTCTGTTTGGAGGGTTGGCATGTGAGTCCACTTTTCCACTTTCTTCATTCCCCAAAACAAGGTAACCAGCAAATACTTGTGGAGCAAGTGAGGTCTCTGCCTTCCTTCCAGGTTCTGTGTCTCCAGGAGGTGCAAGAGAACCATTACTGGGAGCAACTGGAACCAACATTCAAGGAGATGGGTATGTCCTGCTTTTGTGGGTCTGTACCTCCAGCTCATGGGACTGGCCAAGCAGTGCTTCCTGCTTAACATCTTCAAAGCACTCAGTTTCAAGAGACCTCTTCCAGTTTGCCAGGTGGCTACTGGCCCTACTTTTGAAGTATCTGCCTAGACCTTTATCCTTTCTTTTGCTATTGATGTCTCTGAGTTGAAAGATCAGAGTAACAAAACAGAGGGCCCTAGAAAGGCAATGAGAGAATAAATACCCCCAGTGATTAATAATAAAGGGTGATTATTGGAACAGATTTGGGTATCTTGCTGTACCCAAATGTCATAGGAACCTTTTCTATACAGACTTGCTGAGCCTGAGGTAGTGACTGGATAAACCTTTTAATAGGTGATGGTTTCTTTTCAGGCTTTGCTTGCTTCTATAAGCGGAGAACCGGGACGAAGACGGATGGATGTGCAGTGTGCTATAAGCACAGCAGGTTCCAGCTGATCAGTCTCAGCCCCATAGAATACTTCCGGCCTGGCCTGGATGTCCTCAACCGGGATAATGTGGGCTTGGTGCTGCTGCTGCAGCCTGTGCTCCCAGAAGGTCTAGATCTGAAGGCAGTCAGTCCTTTGTGTGTGGCCAACACTCATGTGTTGTTTAACCCCCGTCGAGGAGATATCAAACTGGCCCAGGTGGCCTTGCTGCTAGCAGAGATTGACAAAATTGCAAGAACTACTGAAGGCAGCTACTATCCTGTCATCTTGTGTGGAGACCTGAACTCTGTACCTGATTCTCCACTCTACAAATTCATCCGGAATGGTGAACTTTCCTACCATGGGATGCCAGCCTGGAAGGTAGTTGCCAGCCAGAATTGGGATTGGATAGCTCTTTATTGTCTACTGCTAGAGAAATGCATAGCTGCATTCTTCCTCTTGTGAGGAAATAGTCTTAATACTGAATTAAGTTATTCAGCAGTCTTCCCCAATGTCTCCAGCACTGCAGGGGAAAGAAGCAGACAAGTGCATGCATGTTGTTTCCATCATTGCTCTTTTGGTTTCTCTTGGGGCAGATTTGTGATAATAGATCACTTATGTCAAGTCTTTTTTTTTCCTTTCCTATGGAATTTTTGTGCCTGTGTGACTGGAAGTGAACCAAGACTTAGTGAAATTTTTTGTGGATGTTTGTTCTAAAAAAAGTTTGAAGTGGGTACTTATGCTAGAGTCTTTTGTGGTTTTCTTACTGTGTGTCTGTGATCAAATATATGGTTATCATTCAAGCTAAATAATCACTTCAGTAAGATACCTGTAAAGTATCTTGTCAGGTGACTTTTAGTTAATTGTATCTGTCCCCTACAGCTGAAGGTTTATTATACTGTTACCATACTCTGAATAGTTTGGTTCATGCCTTTATAAGAGGGCATTCTCCTGTCTTGCTCTTACCAGGTGTATATATGTACATTGTCTGTAGCTTGCACATCTGCTCTGTGCCACTGATGGTTGCTCTCCTTTCCTGGCCTTCTTGCAGGTGTCTGGTCAGGAAGACTTTTCCCAGCAATTGTATTCACGGAAGCTGCTGGCTCCACTGTGGCCAAGCTCACTGGGTGTAACAGACAAGTGCCAGTATGTCACCCTGTCTCAGCCAAAGAAACCTGGTGAGCTCCAATATGCACTGACAATATGAGTTTGCTGAGGATGGGCAAACTTGTGGGCCTTGCTGTCTCTGTGAGTAGCTTGGGCATATGCTGCGTGAAGCACTGGACAAAAAGATTCTCTCCTTCTGCTTTGTATATGAATTAAATACAATTTTTTCCAGAACCTATTGCATTTCTGCCATTTTCTTTCTCTAGTCAGGACCTGAATATTCCTCTACTAGTAACACTTACTCTATGTGTCTCTTTCATATTCCCAGACTTACACTTCTGTGCAGTTGTAAACTGTGTTCAATAGGCGCTGCTTTAATCTCTCTGTGTTTGGGGTGTGGTTTTGGATAGTATTTGCAAACCACTGTAAAGAAATCATTCCTAAGATCCAGTTAGAATCATGTCTGTTCTCTGCATCCATAGAGAGGATTACAAAAATGGAGCCTACACAAAATAGCTTTTGGTAAAATCTTGAATGTAGAACTTGTATTCAGCCTGATCTCCAGAAATGTTTTTCTCAGCAGACATTTCCTGGAGTTGCAGACAAACTGATCTGCTTGAAAGTCCCTTGAGCTTTTGGTGTCTCAGAGAGGACATTCTTTCTTTGTGCCACCAATGACTGTTGCATTTGAGGGATAGCAATAGCCATGCTCTGTTCTTCTACACATCTGTTCTATGTGTAGGTTATTAGGTGATTTATATTCTCATGGTATCAGAGTGCTTGGGCACAAAAACCTCTCTCAAACCAAAGACTTCTAAGGGGCCCAAAGGTACCTACCAAATAGGTAGGTGTTCCCTGGGGTTGTGACTATGCTGCAGTTTCTTTCTTTTAATTTGTACTTTTCTCTGCAGGGAGACGCGAATACAGCCGTGACTTCCTGCTGCAGTTCCGCTTTTGCGATGTTGCCTGTGAACGACCACCACAGCTGGTCCTCCTGGAAGGTGTGACAGATGCTAAACCAGGTATTAATGGGAGACTTTTCAATTTGTCACTCTCCTTGCTCAGTGGAGCCTCTCCTCTGAGGACAGACTGAGAGAGTTTGGACTGGAGAAGACTCCACTGAGACCTCATTGTGGCCTTCCAGTACTTAAAGTGGGCTTATAAAAAAAGAGGGAGAGTGATGGCATATAGTGATGGGACAAGGGAAAATGGTTTTAAACTTCCTAAAATTCTTTACATAGAGGGTTGTAAGGCTTTGGGCCAGATTGCCCAGAGAAGTTGTGGATGCCACATCCCTGAAAAATGTTCAAAACCAGATTTTATGGGGCTATGGGCAGCCTGATATAGTGGGTAACATCTTTGCCCATGGGATGGAGCGATGGAACTGGATCTTTAAGGTCCCTTCCAACTCAGGCTGTTCTATAACGGTATGATTCCATCATTTCAAGGAAAACATGAGGTGGAGGTGATGCCTGGTGAGGAAGGGGAAAGGCAGAAGGGTGCCTTCTGCGACTGTGATTAGATTCCATGAGAGCTCAGAGAAGTACACGTTTCCTCCCTCATACACACTGACTGTGTTCCTTGAGATGCACTGAGATTCAGCTTCTTGAAGTTGTTTCTTATAAACTTCTTCTAAGCTGAAACACATACGTGTATTTATTTTTTCTGCTTCAAGATTCTGGTGGCAGAGAACAACCTGAAGACTGTAATGATATATGAAGTTCGCAATATAGATGTCTCTGGAAGCTGGTACCCAGTAGACATTCCTGCATCTCTGGGCCTTGTGGCATGGCTGGTTCTGCTTTCTCTATTTCTGTTCTGCCTTTCTAGACACCCTTTGAATAAGCTGTAGGCTAAGACAAGCAAACTTTCTTTTGAGAGCAAAGCATGACTTCAGTAATATTAAATGCTTTAAGGACATGTCCTCAGCAGGACAGAATATGACTTTTCAGTTGTTTGCACTGATCTGCTCTAGGGATGTTCCTGTTAGTCTTACAGCTTGTGTTTCCTTTGGATAGTTTCCTTTACGATGTTCATGACTGGAAGCTATCTGCTCTTCTTGGGCAAAACGATTTCAGGAGAAGTTTCTCAGACTTGGGATGAGCAGCCTGTTCTAAGATCTGTGTAGGTCTGGCTGGAATTTCTTTGCTCCTTTGCAGACCGCCCTGCAGATTGGCCCAAGCCCGCTGCCATGGTGAAAGACCCTGATCCCCAGCCATTCGTCCCAAGGTAACTTGGTGCACCTTCAGTGGCCACAGTCTTCAAACTCAGCCTTGTTTTTCTGAGCCCTGAAAATCTGGCTGAAGTAAAGACTGAAGTAAATGTGAGAGTGAAAAAGAGTAAGGAGGGCTATCTGGAAGAACTAGGTCCACCCAGGATTGTCCCAGCAGCTGGATGCTGCTCTGTCAGCATTGTGTTGGTGAGACTGAGAATGTAGGGCATAGGCATATACAGGACTGGATATTGAAGACAAAAGAAATTCACAGTATGTCTTGCTTTGGTGTAAGTGGAGTGAATAGTTCTGAAAAATTTATGTGCTCACAAAGTAGGAGTAGTTTAGATAGTTGCATCAGCAAGGGAACATTCAGCTGTGACTGCAGAACCAAAAAAGCATAATTCTCTTTCCTTTCTTGGTAAACAGTGACTGTTTGTGTGCAGGTGTTCAGGTGTTATCCAGCATGGCCTCAACCTGACCTCTGTCTACAGCCACTTCTTGCCACAGAGGGGACGCCCAGAGGTCACAACAATGCCCATGGGGCTTGGAGCCACTGTTGATTACATTTTCTACTCAGCAGAGCCTGTGGAGAGCAAGGCGGGTGAGTGTGGCAGTGCAGGGCTTATCCCTGTGACATTGGAAGAGGACTGTGAGACAGGCCAGATGGGCAGTACATTTCATTAAGCTGGTGGATCTACAGGGTCTGTCTTTGAAATAATACACAAGGTGGAAGTAACATTTGCTCACGTACCATGAGAATACACTGTTTATCCTTGCTGTTAAAACAAATGAGGCTGCTTATGTCCACACAGACTTCTGAGGAAGCTAGAACAGAATAGATTCTTTTCTTCTGTATAAAAATCTTACTTGTGCTCCTGGTAACAGGCAGTGCTGGGTCCTGAGTTCAAGGCATGGACTTCTGGTCTGTTTGAGACCACATACTGTTCTTGGAAGGAGGTGGCTCTCGTTCTTTTACAGTGGCACATTCTCTCTGCTGCCTGAAACAGGAGTTCTGTTGATGAGCAACTGCATGTAAATGCATCCAGGAACTCTCTTGGAGCTGATTTGGGTCACATCGGAATCAAGTCTGGGGAACAGGTTAGGAATGAAGAGATTAATTCCTCCTCAGGGGAGAATCTGAAGCTATTGCTAGGCCACAGTTCAAGAAAAGTACTTCTCATGTAAGCAACTACTTGGTGAATTTAGTGTATTCTTGCTTCCTATGCCTGCAAGTATATGAACAGCAGTATTGTAGGGTGCTCACTGCTTTCACACCTAGGCTCAAAGGTGCATTTAGTGTTTGTGCAGGGTGTCTTCATTTATCAGGGAAAGAACAGGAAAGGATTGACAAGCATCCCTCCGTGAGTGTGCAGTGTTAATTTGTGCTGCCAGTCTCTGGCTGATGTTTCTTCCCATTTTCTTTGTCAGGTCGTAGGCTGTACAAGGATGGAGCCCTGAAGCTACTTGGCCGTCTTTCTCTTCTCTCTGAAGATGTCCTCTTGATGGCAAATGGCTTACCAAATCCTTTTTGTTCATCTGATCATCTCTGTCTGCTGGCTAGCTTTGGCTTGGAGATCTCCAGCCTCAGAGAGAGTTAGTGTTGGTTCCCTTTCCCTAAAGAAAAGTTGTTCTGAATACAGCAGTTGAGACTTTGGATTGCACAACCTGCTTGCAAGAAAATCCTTTTCCTTGTGATGCCCTGAAAGTCCTTTTCTCCCCTCACACCCTCACTAAACACAAGGATGGGAGAGTTGGAGTGCTTTTTGCATTGGTATTTTCTGCATCTTTGCAAACCTGAGCTGTGTTCCCAGTGGGATGCCAGGTGTATTCAATCATTAGCATCTCTTAAAGAGATCCTTGTACCACTGCCTTGTTTAGCAGGTGTTTTTGAGCTGCGGGAACCAACATAATGCCCTTATTTATTTGTCCCTGTGTAAGATTTTCAAGGAGCTGGAAAAGAGAGGGGCAATGCTATCTGCTTTTGGTTAGTTTAATTGCTACCAAGGAGCATGGAATGTATAAGCCAGTACTCTTTTCACACCAAAATAATAGTTCTTTTAATGTCTCAGTAATAGTCAGTACTTTGCATTGTTGCGTTGCCTTTTAGATTGGATCTGCTAACTGCTTAGAAATGTCTTTTACTTAATAATCTGTAAAGGCTTACTTGATGGCAGAAGGGTTTGTGTGGTGTAACTGTTTCTACAAGAAACTGCTTGCTGTGACTAATGGACCAGGCAATGGAATTGCCAGGAATGGAACCAGGGGCTCTACAGAGCAGTATCTGTAGAAATGCAGCAAAAGCCTAGAGGCCTTGGGGAAGGCTTCCTTCCTTTCTGGCAGTCTCAGAATGGTACCTAATACGTAATTTTTAGCAAAAGATATTAAGGATCCTCCCAGTGAATATCCTGTAGAAAAAATTACCCTGTAAGTCATGATAACCACAGAAGACTATAACTCTGGCTGTCCCAAAAGAGATGAAAATGAAAGCCATGTGAGGGTCAGCAGAGCCATCAGATGGAAGAGCTGATCTTGTCACTTGCCCTGTTCTTTGTGCACTCCCTATTGCATTCAGCCTGCAAGGGGTCAATGGCCAACCTGTAGTTTCCATCTCCTGTGTCTTGCTGCATCTTCTGCACCCAGCCATGTTTAGGTGTAGATAGAACCCTTAGGATCAGCTCCTGTCTCTTGACATGCGTTGGGAGGAAGGGGAAGGCTGTGTAACTTGGAGCCAGACTGCAGTCACTTGGATCCCAGCAAACCTTTGGTGTCCTATTGGTGTACTTCTATAAGCAGTGACTTGGCCAGTACAAAAGCAATCAAACTGTACCTGTTCCTAGAGTAAATTCCCCAGTTCAGCCTGACATTTGGTGCTCAGTTTTTCCTTAACAGATGAAACCAGTCTTGGCAGAAATCAATATTGGTATAAACATTATCTTTTGTTCATAAACAAAGCAGGAAATCTGGTTCCACCTCAGGTTTTTGCAGGAAGGTACAGGAGACTTAAAATATTGTTTGTTCTTCATGGTCTATATTGAGGGACTTTGATATTTTAAATGTTACTTTCTTTATTGAAAAATAAAATCCTGCTAATCTAAGAAAATACCACAAAGTAACTGCGGCACCTCGTATTTCTGGCTGCTGAACCTCTGAAGATTGCTCGACAAGTGAAAGACTTGCTCAACAAGAGAGGTGAAAGAGAGCAAATTGGCTACACATGAAAGTAATGAGGGTTAAAGAGAGGGAAGAAGTGAGCCTAATTTAATCTCCCAAGACATCCCTAAATCCAAGAGGTGGCTTCTTTGGTATTGGGTTTGTCTTGCCCCCTCCATCCCCCACCTCCCTCCCCAGAAAGATTTGCATTCAGGAACCCTTGCCCTCCTCTCTAAGAAAGGAATACTGCTGATCTTTTACAGATCACTTCTGTAAATGACAAAAACAAGGTCTGTGGCGAGGGAGTTTTGTGCCCTTATGAGCGTGTAAGAACTGCATATTCCCCTCTAGCCCTGCAAGATGGTGTGGTATTTGTCTGGTGATGTGTGCATGGCTTTTGCTACCTTTGTGAGTTTCTCTAAGTGAATAGCAGCCTTTTGCCCTTAGGTAATAGTTCTGGCATGGCACTGGTACATGGGGAGGGATGGATGCAGACGTGTGCATTTATATGACTATCTCACAGTTTGACTGATTTCTGCAAGTACTCTTACTCTGATTTTGTAAGCAGTTGTATTTATAAAGGGAGGGAAGGAAAGGGTGAATTGAGAGCTTTGCTTTCTGTCTGGCTCAAAAAGGTTGCCAGAAGGCAGCCTGGTTGCAGATGACTCCTTCCTGCTGTTAACATTGTAATAGGAACCTTAGAAGGCACTAAAGGTTTAACAACAACCAACCAAAGGCACCACAAAAAATTCTTTGACACATGGTGTTAGAACTTTAGCTATCTGCTTCTATTGTAATTGCTGGCTGAGTCTGAGGTCAGTTGTTGAGGAGGTGTGTGTAAGTGTGTGTGTATATGAAAGCTGCCCATAGGAGAGCCAGACTGAGCTCTCTGGAGACCCATAAGGTGTGCACCATGCACCAGCAGATGAACTGGTTGCCCCTGCACTGCCTGAAGCACCCTGCCAGTCCTGTGATATAACTCAGGTGGAGGACCTGTGTTCCAGTATCACAAGTGCTTTTTCCATTTTATCTCAACAAAAACCTTGACTTGTGGGCAAATTGCATGGAAGCATCTCAGGGAGGTTTTAAGGCTCCATCTATACTTTGCTGGAAAATCTAATGTTGCACAGGTCAAACTAATGCTTTCCCTTTCTGTGCATTAAATAATATGGTGTGCACTTGGAATTGTTACGTTTTTGAACACTGGATATTGAGTCATGTGCAGAGAAACCCCAGGACAATGCCTACAAGTCCCCCTATTCTTCTTTCTGGAAGTTATAGTGTTCCCAGGATGGCTTGCAGCTCTCAAAGCCCTGGCTTACTCATGCTGTGCTGGGCACTCAGAGGTGAAGGTGTGGCAGAAATGCAGGATAGTGACTCTATAGAGACACAAAAGCAAAGTTGAAGACTTGATCTCTGTGTTTATTTTGACCACCATCACAGAAGCTCTGGTATGAACTCTTACAGAAGTGGTCTGTTTCAGGAAAATAAAAACCTCTGTGTTCTAGAGTAATTTGGAGTTAATATCAAATGGATCTAGAGACCTGGGAATGCCTCCTGACTGTGGGGGATTATAGGAGAGGTTTGGAGGTGGGGTTGGTAGCAAGTTCCTAACTGTAAAATCGCGACTAGCATATAGTTGTTGGGAGAAGAACATTGTGTTTTGTGATGCTTTAAGAACAGCACCCACAGATACAGTCAGAGCCTATGGTAATGAACATTTATGGGATGCAGAACTGAGATTCTATGTGTACCTCTTAAAACTGTTTCTGGACTGAAATGCATGATGAGTTTTCATTAACACAGCTTTCTGATGAATTACAGAGGGATCTGTAAACAGTTATGAAAGTAGAACAGCAGCATCTGCAATGCTCAGAAAGGGAAGGTGTCACAGAGGTAATTACCAGCTACATGACCTTAGTAGTGATGTAGAGTTCAGGGAGACTGGTGCTTAGGGCAAGTGATGCCAGAGACTGCTGGCAGTGTGTGTATGTTCCCTGTTAGCAGCCTCCTAAGCTGCAGGAGCATGCAGCTGTTGAGGCAATCAAGTATTTGACTAAGTGTCTTTGCTAAAAAACAGCTTAGTTTGCACCACAGCTGCTAGGCTGTATTTAGTCATTCTATTTAGATAGAAGTTGGACTTCCTTTATTTTCACAGTTTTAAGTTCATTGCTTCAGGAGGTTGCCCTTCATAATCAGTTTTCCCGATTACATGGGATGGGAGGAGTGGTAAACAATATAATTGCTCTAGCTTCTTTCCTGTTCTTAATAAATGAAACTTGGCTGCTGTTTGAGGTCTTACTCCATGCTCTGCAGCAGCTGTTTTCCCATGACTACTCTATCCAGTTATCTGAGTGACTGATGTTTATTTTTTCTGCAGCTGTATTTCTTCAGTTAAAAGTCATGGGTGCAATTCTCTAGGGCTAAGTGTTATTATAAATGCAACATATGATTGGTGTCAAGATGTAAGATAGTGAGTTTCCTCACTCCTGAAGAATTAAGTGGGAAGAGTGGGAGCTCTGAAACCACTTAGATGGGAGTAACACATGTTATATAAAACAAAACACCTGAGTTTCAGATTTATTGGTAGTGCTCTATACACCACCTGCTTTGTGAAGGCAGAATTCTGAAATGTACTTGACCTTAGTTTGTCTTCTCTGAGGAGTTTCCAAGAGGTCATAAGTTCAGCATCTCAGTGGATCAAGGTATGAGTCCTGCTCTTAATGATGTGTTGTAATGGTGCTGGCAAGTAGTCAGCAAAGCAGGGTGTTGCTGCACTCCAGTAACTGCTCCCACTGCCACCACCTCAGTATAGAACATTTATTGGATATCCTGTTTAGATATTTGCAGACATATCCATGGGTCATCCAAATGCAGATGAACCCTTTTGTTGCTTACCTAAAGGGGGAGTACACAAGGGTTAGTAGGATACCATCTCCTTTCAGGCTTCCTGTTGCGCAGGCTAATTGAATTGCTAGCTGTGACCTGCTTCTTACCAGACTGTAGCTGCCTGCCTGTAGTGCTTCTCATAGCACTGTCATGTTGAAATACACAAGCTGAATTGAATATACTGCATTGTGTTTCTAAGTATGATACTGAGTTTCTGAAGGGAGCTCACCTGTTACAATGATAACCAAGATGACAGATTAAACAGCTGGCATGCCTCTAACTCCTTTTGTCAGCTGTAAATGTTTCCTTTCTCCTGTCAAGGCAAGTTGTCCTTCAGCTTCCACTGAAAATGTCAGTCTTGATGCTATTTTTATTTTCAGTTATTTAAATATTTATTTAAATATTTTCAGATTTAGACTGTACATTCTTGTGCTCTTGTATAATAGCTGTAAAATTTTTTGTAACTTTGGTAAGACAGCAGCTTTCAAGGTCCAAGTTTGGCAAATGGTAGGACTAAGCTAGACACTGGCTTGTGCTACAACAAAAGATGTATTTGTTCCATCCAGTCTTTAATTTCTACATACCAGAAAAAAAAATAAACAAAACCAAAAACCCAATAGCAACAAAAAAACCTCCTTAACAATTTTGTTGAGATTTTATTATTTTCTTTCTGGATGCAAAGCCTTCTACTTATATTTATTCTATATATTCAGTTATTAGCCAGTGCCTAGAGCTGCCCTTGAACTGGGGGTAGATGAATGCTGTAGTGTTTCTATAGTTACTCCTCTCCTCCTTTCCTCCTTTAAAATGAAGTTAGAGATAGGTTAGTATTCACTTTTTGCCAAATTAAAAATATAATCCAGGAAAACAAACCTGGCTGAGTTAATTCTGTCATGGCCTGCTGTCTACAGCATGTCATTTGCCTTTGCCTGCCATAATCCTGCAGTTGCTACATGAATGGTGTTCTTAAGGCTCAGTCTCACTTTCTCATGAATGAATTTCTGTGTGCTTTTAGACATGTGAGAGCCTTAAGTCTTGGGCCTCTCAGTGTAAAAAACTGACAGGGTGTGGTTTTTTGTTTCTTGTTTTTTTTTTTTTTTTTTTAATTTTCTGCTTCAACATGTTGTTTATCCTTCCCACAATAAAGATTTTCCACTTAAGATCCAAGCAGCATAATCTCTAACTGACTTGAAAACTAAAACTGCAGGAACAACCTGCAGGGGAAAAGCCTGATGTAAGAGGGAACAGAAAGTCTGTGACCACATTACTGTTTTGCTATTCTCACTCCACCCTGATCTATACATCCATAGGGGATATAGGAGTTACCTGATCTAAAACAAAATCTATAAGGCATGGTGCAGAGGGTGTTTTCAAGCAAGCAGCTGAAGTAGATGTTTAGAGCTGTGCAATTACTTTCCCTCAGGGCAGAAGCAGTTCATATAATTAACTTGGCTAAGATGGACTATTGCATGTGCCTTTCTCTTTGGAGTAACAGGTCAGAGAATGTTTATTCCTTTCCTATACACACTGTAGGCTTGCCTACATCCTGGCCCTGGTCCCAGCTATTACTCATTTCCCTAGAGAGAAGGGGTATGTTATGCCTGAAAGATGATAGCATGAATAAAGTTGGATCCCCTTGCTGGGGATCCTTGCAGTGGATCTTGCAGCTGACTGTCCTTTATTAACCCAGCATTTGTCTTGAGAAGGCCTGGTGAGGTCATTAGTCTGGAAGGTCACTAAACAGACTTGGAGGAGAATTGCTTTTCAGGCCAGGAAGGGAGACTGAATTGTACATTGAAAAGTTGAGCAGTGCAAGACGAGGTTTGTATTAACCCTTACCGTATTGTTGCAGTATTGTGAGAGTGAATTTTTTGATGCTGCCTGCACTGTTTTTTTTTTTCCATCCAGCCTGACTGATGGCAATTCAAGAGGGAAAACATGAATTCTGGCCTTTGCTAAACAGCCACATATGTACTTTACTTCTTCTGGCAACTGCCTCTGTGTGCACAGACATACTCACCTGTTCAGATGATTAAAGGAGGATGAGGGTTCTTCCATGTCCACTAGTGTAGCAAGTAAAGGACATCACATAATTTGCCTGATACCATCACTCAAGGCTGTCCCTTTGACTTTCAGCTGACATGTAATAGGTAGGTTTAAAGCAAAAAGAAGGACAGTACAGACAACTTGTTTTCTCTGCACAAGCTGAGAGCAGTACAGAGGGAATTTTATTGTCTAAGTGTCAAAGGAAGCAGAAGTATCAACATGAGGGCCATGGGAAGTGCAGTAAAAACTAAATCTAAATAAAAATTCTGTGTTGGCTATGTAAGAACACAGAACCACACTGATTAATTACAAAAAGACACACATGATACTGTTCTTAAAGAAAGAAACTTTCGATTTCTTAGTTCCGAGCTGTACCAGTGATAAAGATGTAAATGGTTTTGGAGCACCCTATCAGTGCTGGAGTAGAATACTGATGTGCATGGAAGTGGACCGCTCTGGTCCCACTAGCACCATCTCAACCCTGACCTGGAGGGAAACTCTGCTCTGCAGAGATTATGGGGGATTCAGTAGCCTTCTGGCCTTAAACTGAATTGCTCTTGAGCAGAAAGGCCCACGGCACCACTGAAGGAGAGTGGTTGTGATACAAGTAAACACCTGCTCAGAGACACAAAAATAGTAAATTCCCCAAGGAGTTCAGCTTGGCTGTAGAGGGGCCATCTCCACCTTTCTCTGGGAGAGCAAACATCAAGCCAGAATAGCACTTGCTTTGTTAAGTAAAATTATAAATGCATAATTCAGGTCTAAATGGTGTCAGGACAACAGTGCAAGGCCACTGGAATGAGTGGTGTTATTTCAGCCAGACTTGCACACACAATATACCTGGGACACCCCCTGCCTATTCCTACTGTTTGATCATCAGGACCACTTGAAATACTTCACTCAGAAGAAGCAGGTAGCTAAAGCAAATATCTGAAGTGATTAGCCAGAGCCACTGGAGCAAGTTCAAGCCAATCTAATCCAGACTCTTGCCCTTTAGCTAACAGGAGCTTTCCTCTGTTCATTACAGTTTCTTAAACTTGGAAATTTTAAGGACAGCCGTGTTCCAGTCTATACAACACCACACAAGTCTGCCTTAGGGGGCAGGCAACTGATTAAGGCTTTCACCTGAAATACTTAAAAGAAAAATCATCCTGTTAATCAGATTTGAAAACAGCAATACATCTACTATGTGAACAGAAACTATGTTTCAAATACAGTTCTGCAGTAATTTATTCTGATCGATCCAAGGAAACTATGTACTGACCCATACCCTGGCCCACAGGTAAAATAGTAACTGAAAAATAGCACTCCACTCCCACCGAAAACACTTGCTAATACATGTCAATTTTAAAAGACTCCTTTAGCTTCTACCTGTAAAAAAAAAAAAAAAAAGAAGTTACTGTGTCACAGAGTGATGGACACCCAACCCTGCTCTTTAATACACAAAGTTTCTATCAGAGTGATGCTGTAGCACAGAGTTTTGCTCACTAATGAATCATTAAAATTTGCAGTTGGCCAGTAGTAAGGGACTTGTCTACATAAATGCATAAAGAGGGGCTCCTTATTTCAAGGTTTGCATTATGTTTAGAATAGTTCACCAGCAATAGGTCAGCATTTGTTGAAGTCTTTCAAAGCTCACCTCAGCTTCACATACAATGCAGACAGTGTCTATCCATTCCCAGTGTACACAGTTCCTTTCCACAGATTTCACAGGACTTGTACTGCAGAACAGACATCATGTGAGACCTACTACTGAACAGTGAAATTTACATCACAGAGCTACATGAGCGACCCTATTAATATTTAACATTAAAAATTAATAGGACTCCTTGAGATTCATCTTCCTTATTCTGCAAGCACTAAAGGAGTATGACTTCCATTATCATTCCTACTCTGTAGCTCTAAAGCCTGCAGAAGTGAAAAAGACTCTCATCACCAGCCTTTTTTCCTTATGGTTAAAGGCAGACAGACCAGAAACCAGACCAAGTAGGTGGGGGAGGAAAGAAGTCAAAGTGCTAAGTTTGTCTTTCACTGTACCCTCAGCTTTCTTACAGCATAAAGCTAGATTGCATTAATCCTCTCTGTCATGGAAGGATGTGGTTTTGTTTGTTAGGAAGGAAGAAAAACTTTGTATTGAATTGATTCATCCTGTTACAAAGATGGGGGGAGCAAGAGCAAGAAAGGGAGAACTCTATGGTCCTTTTCCAGTTTCTTGTACCATCTGCTGAACTGGAGATACAGAAACAGTAAGGAGCAGGAATTCTATGCAGAGAAACACAGTAGAAGGCTTGAAATGGTAACCCTAGCAAAGTGCACTTGTCTGCTCCTGTGTCCATCTTGAGAAGTTAATCAACATTAGATACAAGCAAAGAATTAAGTACTTCCTAACATATATAATTGTGTAACTGGATCTTGAAAGAGGATGTTCTTGACTAGCTGCAGCTGAGGATTAAGAGACCTTGAACTCTACCTGTTATTCATATCTTAAACATCCATTTCCTTTGCTTTTTCTAAGTTAACAGCTTTTTCCAAGCTATTGGCCTCAGTTACATCCTGCAGGAAAGCTTTTAATTACACAGTCAAAAAAAGTATTTTGTTTTAAGCCATTCTGCCTTGATGATCTAACACTACTGAACACCCCTGTTGCCCTGCTCTCAAGAAAGCATCATTAACTTGCAGCTGACTCCTCATTTGTCTCATCTGTTGTGAAGTCTTCCTCCCACCCCCACATTTCCTCTTTCCATCTAAAAAAGCTCAAGTCTGTCCAGTTATTCAATGTTCTCTGTAGTAAACTATTAATTACTCTCAAGAGCTCTCCAGTTACTCTGAATTAACTAACCAACTGACTAAACAAAGTAATAGTGAAGATGCATTCTAGACATCTTTTATAATTTTTTTTTAATTCTGGATTTCATCCACTTTAATAAAACCTGACAGTCAGTTTCCCCTTGCTGACTGCTGCTTGTATTTATCATATGATTCACAGTGGCATCTGAACTTTCAGTCCGCTGCATAGTAAACATTATGCAAAGGCAGTTTGTGGCTTCCAAGTGACCCATATTATTTACAGGTACCTGTGGTGCCTTTACAGCTAACATCATCGTTAGCACCCAGACACTAAATATGTTCATTTACAGCCACACAAAAATGACCAGAGGACACATTCAAATGGGTGCTTGGCTCACTGCTGCTGTTCACTTCCATTGTTGCATGTAGCTGGAATAGAAGGGAGTGGACAGGGATTGCACTGCACTGTGGAAACTGGCATCCTCTTCTGGATTAGCCTTCTCTGGGCTCAGCAGCAACTTTTGCCACCTTCTTACAGATTTTCCTCCTGGTTGTACAGCACAGCAGAAAAGTATAGACTACAAAGGGAGATTGGAAGGACTGACTACAGTGGTATGGATATGTCTTACATCACAGTTAAGGATGTACAATTAGGAACCTGTAAGGTCCCAGTTAAATCGGTTGTGGGTGGTGCTTTGAGGATTAACTGCTTTAACTAGGCAGAAGAGCTGATTTCTTTGGGGTTAAGAACCCATTCTCTGCCACCAAAATAGCTCTGCTTATTATGAGGCTGTGGCACAGGAATACTGCACCAAAAAAAAACTAGAAGAGCTAAGCTCCATCATATTTCTAACATAGAAAGAAAGAAAAGAATAAGCCACCAGGCTAACAAAATTAAATATGTGGTATTTCAGAAAGTTTAGCTCCTTGTCAGTGCTGTGATAAAACAAGACTGTTTCTCTCCAGGATACTCCCACTCCCAAGCTCAGTTTTTGCATCCCCCAGATCCATGCATCCAAATCACTTTAAGACCATGCTGTTCTGACTTCTGGAAATCCCACTATTCCCATATCCTAGGCCTCAGACAGAGAGGTCTGATAATACTCCATTTCTGACAAGCATTAATTATACTGCTTAAGCAGTAGTACAACACTCCCCCAGAAGAAGCATAGGAAGTAAAGGCCACAGTGGCACAAAGGCCCAGCCCAGCCCTTTGGGAATGGTTAGTGTAAGTGGTGCTGTTACATACTGCAGCTATCCAAAAAGCCAGAACACAAGCACAGCTCTGGCACTGGGGTGGGGAACTGCTTTCAGGAGGCTCCAGGGT